AATTTTCAAAAAAATTTTTTACGCATTTAAGAATTTAAAATTTTGAAGATAGCCATTTTGTTGAGCATATTTTTTAATACAGTTCAAAAAAAAAAATAAAAATAAAAATTGACCAAATTAGAGCAAGTTATGTTTTTGAATAATTGTAGTAAAAAAATAAATTATTGTTTCACATTTCAATAATGAAATATCTAATTTCAGCACACGACAATACTTTTACATTCCTAATTTATTTTTTTACTACAATTATTCAAAAACATAACTTGCTCTAACTTGGTCAATTTTTATTTAATTTTAGTATTTTTTTTTTTTGAACTGTTTTTAAAAAATATGCTCAACAAAATGGCTATCTTAAAAATTTTAAATTCTTAAATGCGTAAAAAATTTTTTTGAAAATTTTTGAATTTAAAGAAAAAAATAAATGAATTTTATGCCATTCAATCAGAATTTTCATACTTAGTACTGTAAAAAAAACCGTTTTTAAATATAGTGATTTTACATGGAGATATTAAGGGTGATACGGGACTTTTGGGACACACTGTATACTATATTATTATGTGTAACCCATTAAAATAAGTAGGTAGGATCTTAAACAAAAATCTAAATTCGTTAAACACGACGCGCCAGTAAACCATAACGTTGTGTGCATATTATGAGTAAAAACCACCAAATCACCAACTTCGAAAGGATATAACTTCTAAAATAATGAATTCTGCAATTTTTTTTTTGCACCATCGTCCTTAATTTTTTGAAATACATGGTTCAATAAAAAAAAAAAAAAAATAGAAAAATGCGTGTTCCTTTATTTAAAATACACGTAGCCACGTAGTTATCTAATGTTTTATAAGTTTATGTAGGTATTTACAATTTTCATTTTGAACACTGGATATCTAATCTCCTTCCTGATGGCCAAAAGGAGGGATGTAATTTTATGAGAGCCCCGGGGTGTACAATCTCTAAATATGGTCCTGTCTACCTCCCTAGGTTGGGTTTTTTACGATATTATAATTTTTATACGATTTATTTATGCATTTTTAAATTGTAATAATATTTACCCACCCATAATTTACATAAACATTTTAATATACAACGTAGGGACAGAGGTAATGTTCTTAACTTAAGGTTTGATAATTGGTGAATTTTCTCTAATTTTAAATGTAGGTGTATTAACACCGGATTGATTCTGCTAAACGTAAAGTTGTTAAGTTACGAGTGGGTCAGAGAGAGATAACAAAAAGTGCGTTGACATCCTCTTAAGGTTAAGACTTTAAGAGGACGCTGTACCCTTATAATAATATGTTGTCTCCGTTTTACTTAGGTACCTATACACATAAAATACTAAAATTTAAGTCCAGCAGTTTCAATTTTGTATTGTTAGCTTGAATATTAAAGTGAATTGTCCTATTATCAAATTTAAATATAAGAAAATTATCTGACAGTCGACAGAGTACATACTCTAGTTGGTAGTTTTCAATAATTTAATTTTTAAGTTAATTTAAGCATTTTCAAATATTAATATCATACATAGGTATTAGGTACTCATAAAGTGATAACTCACTTAAAAATTAAAACATCGTAAATAACCCACGAAAAACACAGATAATCTTCTTAAACGTTTAAGAGGTCATACCCGCAATTCCCTCTAATATTTAAGCAGATATTTAAGCTAACAACACAAAATTGTAACTGCTGGACGTACATTTTGATATAATATAACCTTTTAATTGGTGATAATAAAATATAAATATAAGCGTTTCAACTTTCATTGCACACTCGACATTTATAGGTTTTTTTTAAAAATATCATTACGACCCAATAATTTTGATAAATTTAATAAAATAGAATGTTTACATTGTAGTTGCACAGTTACCTAGTCACAGTTGCTTGTGGTATCAACCTTTTTATTTTATTTAAATTTATAGTTGAATTATTTTGTAGGAGAAGTAGCTATGAGTCTTACGAGTTTATCTCATCATGAAGATTTTACAAAAAAGGTTAGTAACTGTACCTTATTATTTATTCATTTTTTGACGCCACACGGAATTCGATGAGGTATACTTTTCGTAACAAATAGTATTGGAATGTTAGTGAAACTACAGTGTATAAAGGTGGGTTTCCACTACATACATGTACGTGTAAGTGCATAAAAATACTTTTCTGTGATTGGTTGGTATACATGGTAATCTTTTGGTATACCAAAGTGTTATAAGTTCTTACCACAGGCTTGACCATGATACCATGAAGTTGGATCAAGTTCAACTTTTCACGTGTACACGGCTCTATATCTGTATAATATATAAAACAGTAAGCAGATTTACTGCTATCAACGCACAGCTCAAACCATTGGACGGATCTGGCTGAAATTTGGCATACAGATAGCTATTATGATGTAGACGCGCGCTAAGAAAGGATTTTTCGAAATTTTGAATTTAAATTGTTGAAATCGGTAAAAGAAAATTTTTACATGTAATTTGTAAATCCATATTCATATAATAATAACAATAGCTGTTTTATATACAGAATTTTTGTATACAGAAAATAATAACAATAGCAGTCGACCGATTACGGGAAATAAGGTACGGCACGGCGACCAGAGGGTTTCCATCTACCTGTACTCTGACCTTTATTTTGTGTGTGTATTTTATCAGCGTGTAGATATGAATTTTTCCGTGGCTATATTATTATTTATGAGTTGTATAGAAAACACCGACTAGCTCAATTATACAAATCTTAATCTTACTTTACAGCGATTTCGGGGTATTATATAAGCCGGGTTTTTAGCTATTTACACGTAGAGCCCGTGGAGGTATTATTGCGTATATAATATCGCGTCATTAGCCGCGACGTTGGCGTTGTCGTTTTTTTTATGTTACATAGGTTATTCGAGGACGTTGTCATTTTCCATTCTAGGGAGATTTCCGTCTTATAGGGTGTCCGTTATAAAGAGGTTTAACTATATTATTATTATTATTATGTATAGGTATTTGGAAATAACATAAACCGGCTACAACACTCATACCCGTTTTCTTCGTTGTCCAGGAGACTTCATGTAATGTTTCCCGGTGTGCGAAATCCCATGTAATAGAAGTCACATAGTTATCACACTGATACTTGTGAAGTTACAAATAAGTGCCTATTTACTTGTCTGAGATGCGACATGGATGCCAAACGCCAGGTTGAGTGATGGTACAAATGCGATATCAAAATATGATTACTGTAGGAAGTCAATAAAGCCTTCTATTGTATATTTTATAAGCTACCTAAAAACTGCACAAGGTAATCGCATATGTGACTACTATAGAACATCACTCATGTGACATTTTACAAACTACTCATAGACGACCTATGGAAATCATATAGTATTAAATGATAACAGCCATGTGTTGACACAAAAAAAATGTCTATTAGAGGTCCATATTAATTACCAAAATATTATTCCCACTGCTTAAATTCAATGCTCTTTATAATCACACAACAAAAGGGGGAGCATAATTTTCAAACTAATTTTTGCCAAGTTATTTACATAACTATGAAATAGGCACCCATATAAGTAGTGGATAGTGATAATATCATATATGACTCACTTCAGCAGCTCCAAAACTTTCACACAATGTTATTCACACCATTAATATTTTGGTTATAAGTTATAACACAATTAACATAATAATATGTAAAAAGTGTTTTATACTTAGCATATTAATTAATGAAATGAAAGAACAGCATTATTACAGTTAATAAAATAAGATGTTTATTATTATGAGCGTAAAATAATTAAAAAATTAAACAAAATAATATAAAGAATAATAAGATTAGTTACATTATTGAATACTGCGAACATATTTTTATAAAATAATTTTATTTAATTATTTATTAGGTACATTAAAAAAAATAAGATAACATTAAGTATAACATTATAGTATAACATGAAATTACTCACTAATATGTAATAAGCTAATGACAACTGCCCTGTCATTAGGTATAGTAACAAAAAAACATTTATTCTTAATATATTTTAATTTAACAAAAAATAGATCAGAAATATCTGTTGTACTCACATAAAATGTTCCAACAATATTTGATTCAATAGAGGAATTAGACATAACAGAATAACTATTATATTTCACTACTCCTAACTCAATTTGACCATTGGAATATTTTAAAATTTTTTTTACTACAACAATACTATTATCTTTTAAAATAAAATGATCGTTCTTTAAATTTATAGAGCATATTAAAAATTGATCGGTTATAATTTTTTCATAATAAGTTATAAATGGATTGTATAAATAAAATGTATCATAATTATGGATTTCATTTTTTAAAATTGGATAACAATTATTTATAACTGATTGTATTTGAAGTTCTTTATGTTCTATAATTCTATATATCTTGAAGAGGAAATGTTGTATTTTTTAAGCTTTTTTTAACAAACTGCAAATAATTTTCAAATTTAAATGCGCTGAAAGAATCTAGTGGTCCATGATGTTTTACAAAACGAGATAAATGTATTAAACTCTGAACATTATACGTTATGAATTCATCTCCGTACAAAATTAAATAATCATAGACAAATTGTCTTATTAAAGTTGTAGCCATATCATTATAAGTTACACAAGTTTCATTAGATGCAAGAAGGCGAATAGCTGTATGAATAATAATGAAATGTTCATAGAATTTTTTCTTTAATCTCCCCTTTAAGACAATAGGCCCAGTATAGAGTAAAAATGATCTGAACTCAGTGGCTTTCCAAAATTCAACTTCTTCAAGCGATCTAGGTAGGTTACAAAATTCTGCAGGAAATGTTTTTTTTTAATTTATTAGTTCTGAAGAAATAATGTCAATATCTATTTTAGAAAGTCTAACTTGCTTTGGTCCTTTCAACCAAAACTGTAGCATTCTCTTCATAACACCCAAACATACATTATGCATGTAGTCGAGTACTACTGATAATGTAATATCAATTTTAAAATGTAATAATGGACTGTTGCCTTTATGATAATCTACATCAGATTTTCACGAAACGATTTATCAGTTCTTAATTCTGAGTCCATTCCTAAAAAGGTCATTCTGTTCAGAAATGTTCCTTCTTCTATGCATGAATTGCAACCATGATCAGCATTAAATTGCTTAACATTAAGAATAAACGCCTTTGCAGGAGCATCACAGATGATTTGGGAAATTTCAAATGTAAATTTTTGTTTATTTATATAGAAACCATTAGTTATTAAATCATTCATTTCTGTTACAAAAGGGTTTAAAAATTCTGAAATACAATCGGGCTTTTTATACTTATCGTGATAAATACCTATAGGTATAATTAATTTAGATAATTTGGTGTTATTTATTATAGATATTAAAATGGGCCAAAAACATGCCTTGGAACTTTTAGAAATTGGTAATCCATCAATGTTTAATGATAATTTTATTATAGATGTGTTACAAAAATCAGAAATAAATGTTGTTAGTATTGGAAACATCATGGTTTTGATTCCCAAGTGAATATATGATCCTGGATTTATTTGTATGATACTTTGATGTTTTGGGGTATTTAAAAGAACTCTTGCATTCTTTGGGAGATCCAATCCCTCTTCTCTTAAAATTAACAATAACTCGTTTACAAAATTGTGAGATACATGATACTTTGAAATTATTTTTTTTAGACTGTCTACAAGTTTTGATTTTTTATAATTATTATCATCATCTTTATTCAAAAAATTGATACTTTCAGTAAAATGTGTATAAGACATATTGCAAATTAAAGGAATATCGGCTACATCTTCTGCCTGCTCACCAACAGCTGATGGAGATTGAATACTTAGAGATTTACCTTTTGGAATTGCAGGACTTATATTACAGAGTTTTGGTTTTTTAACCATGGTTAACGATGATGCCATTTGAATTTGTTGTTGAATATGCCGATCGAAATTTCTTTTTGACATATTTTCCAGTGGTTTAATTTTCTTAATCTACGATATTAAAAAAATATTAATTCATAATAGAAAAATATTTATTCAAAAATATTAATTCAGAATTTTTAAATAATACTATAGTAAAACATAAAATAAAAAAACATCACTGTGAAAATACTTTGAATATTATAAACATTTATAAACTATAAAGATAAATATCATAATTAATATTATTAATTATTACAGGTACTTAATTATTTCTATTTATGAAATATAGTAATACCTACAGAAATAGTAAATAATAAAGCAATAGTCTATGCATTGCATTTATAATATAATGAAATAAAGTAATAAATGTATAAAATAAAAAATACTATAGAAAACACAATCTTGTTAATTTATTGTTGGCGTTCTTTTTCTCTGGATAAACGTTGACTACCGTGCCTAAACCAATCTTTAACGTGATTCTCAAAAGATATATCAGTTCCTTTGAAATGTTCTCTGGCAATATCTTGAAAACAAAAAAAAAAAGTTAATAATATAAAATTTGCTCGGCATTCAAAATAAATGTTTCTAAGCCACCTCACCTTTTATAACTCTCATCAATTTCAAATTTTCTAATTTGTAATTTGTTCTGAACCCAGTCCAGGAACATTTTGAAGATTATTCGTTGGAGAACATTCGATGAAGAATTCTTTTTACAAAATTTTTTATGTCAGTACCACCAATTGTAGTAATAAATGCTTTCTAAAAATAAAAATTCAGATATTTAACCGTTAAACATTACAACAACAAACATGAATATACATATGTGTATATATATACTATGTACCTACCACTTGACATTCAAATTTAGAATCATTTTTAATTTTTGTATCAACATCATTAATAGTTTGTATATCTGGACGCATATAATGTTCCAGAAAAAAAACGGCCAGAATGTAGATTTGTCGAATGTTATATAACAGAAAATAATATTACAGAATTGCAAACAACCAGAATATAAAAAGCCCAGAAAATATTTGAACAGAAAATCAAATAACGAAAATAAATACTACAGAATGTAAACTGATAAGAATATGTATCAGTAGAAATACAGAAATACAGAAATTGATATTGCAGAAATTCTGCAAAGTGTATAATTCCAGAATGGAATATAACAGAACACAGTTTTACAGAACGTTATGATGTATAAAAAATGTTTGCATAAAATATTTTCATGGAAAATATTTTAACTGAAAATTATATATTAGAAAATATATTTCCAGAAGTATATATCTATTGAAATTTTTTAGTTGTTAATTAAAAATTAAAATGCGTGGGTACAAAATATAATGTTTGTACGTATTTCTGTTTTTAAATTAATGGCAGCTGCTAATAGTAAGTATAATGTAACTATAGTGTCTAGTACACAGATATTAATAAATAATCATTCTTATTGAAAAAAACATATCTGCGTTATAAGAAAAAAAGTTATTGTAAAAACCTACAACGTTACACTGTTATAGCTATATTTTGTGTGTGATATAATTGTATATAGGACGTACCTGCAGGTAGGTCGTAGGTACCTAACCTTTTTTTATACCATTCATAATTATATTAACCAACTATCAACCCATAACTAATTAAAATTTAATATTTATTATTTTGTGGGAACTAGTAATTTATTACTCGTGTTAATATAATATTTTACATTTTTGAAAGACAATAAACAAGCTACGACTAAAGTACTAAACCATTCATAATTAATAATAATAACAACTTCTGAAAAACTCCGCCAGGTGCCAACACTAAAAAATTAAATACATTTTAAATTTTTAAATCAATATTATAGCCAGTAGGGTAATAATTGGAAGTCACAAACTCACAACAGTCATTTTTTTCAATATAAAATAGTTAAAGTCTAAAGACATGCTCATTCTGGGAACATAACATAGACTGTATGTCTGTATAAGTTCTATCGTATATTGTACAAAAATTTATAAATTTATTGTATATTTGTATGCAGCCTCGCTACTTGCTAGGGAAGGGGGGGGGGGCTGCCACGAATTAAGATATAGGTATATCTTAATTCGTGGGGGCGGCACTCGGAGTGCGCTGTTCAGCCAATGTCACTGATGTCTGATACAGATTTCTATATATTATTCTATCTATATATTATAGTATAGAACAGTAGTTCTCAACCTTTTTTGATTCATGTCACCTTTAGCCACTAGAATCAAACACTGCGTCACCCTAACTAGGTACACGTGTTTATCGGACTAAAAGATTAAATATAAATAATACAAACTATTATAAAGATACGAAATTTGAGGTATGTTATGTACATGACAGTGGTGGTATAGCTGGTGTATAATATATTTATTATAAGAAATAATATAATATGATTGTTTTCGAAAAAATTAATTTTTTTAATTTTTTTTTTCTTTTCTTGTTAAAATTCTGCGTCACCCCTAAGCTAGGTCCATGTCACCCTAAGCCCTAAGGTGACATGTCACCCCGGTTGAGAACTACATAGAGTAAGAATATAGAAAGCACAGACTATATATATATATATAGTCTGTGTCGCACGTTTGTTATCATTTGGTCGTAAAATATTAATTTGGTATATCTGTGAATATGATACAATATTATTGTTTTAGCACGATCTTAGAAGATTAGCTATTGTTTTAGTTTGTTCATTACTTCATTGTTGACTGTTGTTCGATTTAAAGAAAACAAATATTTTGTTCCTGTGTTTAGAGTTATAGTGTATTTACTATCTAATATTTTTCAGCTGCATGTAAAATTACATGTCAAAACCGCAACTGCAAGAAGTTTGGCTAAAGAAAAGAATAAGTATTACCTTAAGAATTGCTTTTAAATATTATCATTATTCTCTCAAATTTGTATTTTTTAAATTATCAAAATTAGCTTAAGCATCAATTATAATACAGCCCTAAGTTTTAATGTCTTGCATAGGTGAAGTTAAAGCGTACTCAGTATATACAGGAGTGCCTATAAATTATAATGTTCCATAATACTAGGATAGGTACCTATGTTCAATGGGCTATGAATAAACCTATGACTTATTATGTAGGTGCATTATGTTTGTTGTTATCTGCCTATAGTGTACCTAGTACCTACTATTTTTAATTTATTACAATCTATAACTGAGATTAATTTAAATTAGTTTAGACAAGTATCAGCAATGTTTATTTATTATTATTTTACTACTATATTGGGAGTCTTTATCAAAATCTTTATTATTATTTACTCAACATTTTTCATACAGTTTTTACTTATGATAAAATAGTGAAATATTGTCCTAGAAATATCAAATATGACCTTAAAAATGTAATTACAGACATATGGTATGTTCAAAAAATGCTTCTGTTTCCTTATAATAACATAATTAACATTATTAACATTTTTTTGATATAACATCATGCATTTATGATTCAATACAAAACTACTCTATAGAATAAACCGGCACCCACTAACTAATTTTAATCATTATGAGTTGTATGAGTTAAACTAAATTAATATTACATTTACAATATAATTATTAATTATAATATAACCTTAACCAATTACTAGAATCCTAACCTAGGTAGGCAAGTAGGTACCCACCACTGTAGGCTTTCACAAAACCTCAGGAAGTGTTTTAAATTGTAGAACTTTTGGCTAAACTAGTAAATGATGTCTGGTGAATATTGGAATACTATTTAAGTTAACTGAAATATAATTAATAGTTATTGAAATTAACCTTTACGTACAATAGGTACCTATCAAAATAAGACACAAAAACATCTTGCGTCATACTAACAAAGTACCTCACCCTTTTATTATAATTGGTGTAATAACTTCTTTTCAAGACTTGTGTAAAAAAAATTAGGAATATTTTCATTTTTGTGAATTAGTAAAATGATAACAATAATAGAACGCTAATTGTACTGTTGAGTTATTTTATTTAATTGATGACTGTATATAAATGTATTTAAGTTGTGTTGAATTTTCTTGAGTTTAACTATTGAAAAAAATACAAATGAATTAAAAAAACATCATTATAACAAATAAACCAGTTAAATTATAACTTCTGCATACTTTTGAAGGCAACTGATGAGGGTTCTACACATAGGGCACCCTGGATTCCCTTCGTCCATCCACCTTTTAATGCATTGCCTACAAAACATATGCTGGCAAGGAATTGTTTTAACATTGCTCACCCTTTGAAAGCATATCACACATACCTCAAGGACTGAAAAATAAATATTTAGAAAAAAAAAATTCTATACACCTTAATTTAATTTAATTTATCTTACTTTCTTCATTTTCATTTATCTGCAGATGCTGATCTAGCTCCTGATCGTCATCAAACTCAACTCCTAAAAATATGAAGTATATATTACTAGTTGTTAAATTAGAAATAAAATATTGAATGAATTGTGTAAGCTATTAATATCAAATATATAAATTATTTTTTTTTATTTAAGAGATTTATTTTTTTTTGCGTACCATCACCTATGAGCTTTACGTGAACTTCACCCGTAGGTTGATAATTTCTGGTGTAAGCCGTAAGGTATTATAGTAAGTGGTAGAATTTTATAAGTGACAGGTATTAAATTGTATTTATTTAAATTAAATAATGTATTACTATTTATGTCTTCTGCATGGAACCAGGCCCAGGCTGCGGCTACATCTAATGTCGGCGATCTAAGTCTTCTTTGTCTGCGATCTAAATTTAATGGTTATTTACTACATTTTTTGGTAAATTCAGATATCTATATATATAAAAATGAATGTGTGTGTGTCCATATTACCAAGGTTACCATGGGTTTTGAAGCTATAATAATAATAATTATTGGTTGCCGGGATCATTTGGTACAGAGTTAGATTAGACATCTGGGCAGAAGATAGACTAATTTAAAAAGGGAGAGGACCAACCCCGGGAGGTGCTCAAACAGGGATTTTGAGGTTTCGGATGGAAATTTTTGTTTATAAAATTGAAGGGTCGGTGCAACAACCAAATAACTTAATTTGAATGGTTTCCATGGGTTTTGAAGCTATTATAATAATAATTGGTTTAAAATTGTTGTTATGGTTACCGTTAATATAAAATAAAACATTTTATTCATATAGAGTTGGTATTTTTAATGGGCAACAAAGTGCACGAGATCAGCTATTATAAAATATTAATAAAACTATTTGAAGTTAAGTATTTATACTAAGATATATCAAAATAGTAGGTACTTTTGTTCAAACGTTCACTATTAAAATAACTTTTTTTAACTTATTTTATTTCAATAAAATAAGTTAAAAAGTTATATATTAAAGTACATATTACCTGGACGATGGTAAGGATGAGCTCGTACCGTAGCTGCTGTTTGTCTTACTGGCGGTGTCTGTGGTCTTGTCGCTGCTGCTGCTTCTGGTGGTGGTGGTGGTGGTGGTCTTGCTGCTGCTGGTGGTGATGATGGTGGCCTTGCTACTGGTTGCGGAGGTCTTGCTGCTGCTGCTGGTGGTGATGATGGTGGCCTTGCTACTGGTTGCGGAGGTCCTGCTGCGGCTGCTGCTACTGGAGGAGGTGGTCTCGCGGCCGCTGCTGGAGGAGCTGGTAGTCTTGCTGATGGTGGTGGTCTTGCTGCCGCTGCTGTAGGAGGTAGTCTTGCTGCCGCTGCTGGAGGAGGTGGTCTTGCTGCTGCTGCTGATGGTGGTGGTCTTGCTGTTGCTGGTGGTGGTGGTAGTGGTCTTACTTCTGCTTCTACAAGGTCTGGTTGTTGTGTTTCCACATGCAGCGCCCAATTATTTTGCCGTTGCTCATAAGCTGATGTGACATGTGCAGCTCGGCCAAGAAACTGCCACATGGTTATTAGCCCCAGAGAATATTCTTGCATTGAATTTTGAATTCTATTCAAATTTGTAAGAACATTCAATGTCTGTTTTCTTGTTGGGCGCAGGTTATTGGATAGTTGAGTCACAGTTATGTGGACATTTTTGCTCATGTGAGTAAGGTGATCTAAAATTAATTTTAAAGATTAACCTACCTGATATTATCTATACTTTATTAATTATTATGGAATCATAAAAAATATGCTTACCTAAAAATGTCCATAGATTTGGGTGAACCACATTAAACTTTATGCGTAAACTGTTGTGGAAACTTTCTACACAATTATTCGTCCGCCTTGGTAGGCCGTTGACTGATAAAGCATCTACTCCGACCTGTCTCAGCCAGAAGCTAAAAATAAAGTTATAATAGATAAGTAATAATAATAATAATGAAAAAATCTTGCTAAAAGATTTTTTTCAATGTCCTTAGTTAATAGTTTTTTTATTTTTAAGTTAGTAGATGATTTTTTTTTTCACTTGATATTTTCCACTTTGAAGTAAATGTGTGAATCATAAATATTTATTAATACGTAACCATTAATTCTATATACACCTAGCGAGAATTAGGTAATTTTTACATTATATTCGTTTATATGGCGATAAACAAGGCGTTAGAAAAAAAAAAAATATCTATACCCACCCCAAAAACATTTATGTTAAAAAAATAATAAAGACCAATGTGGCAATGTATATAATTAAAGAAAGCTTAAAGCTCAAGCTCTAAGTCATAATACAAAATTTAAACTTTTGTAATGTTTTCTTACTTTTGATAATAATCAAATAAAGCTACCATTGGCACGTTTTGGTTTATAGCATTGGTTCTCACGACATCAAATGCTATTTGTATATCGGCAGCTGGTAATAAAGGTAGAGCAAAGAGCATTCGCAATGCTTTTGAAGCACATTGGTTAGAATTTGTTAACTGTAAAAACCCTTTTTTTTCATATTTTTCCAAACTGCCTATAAAGAAATGAGCTACATAATAATAAAATATCCAAATGTAATTTTAATCAATTGTATTTATTAACTTACGTTATTATGGTGAAACCAACAACCTACGGCACGTGAATTCGGAAAATAAAATGCAAGAGTATCTCGTAGTGCTGTCTCATAATCAGTTATGATGATATTAGGATTTATATTTGCCAGTAGGTTTAGTTTTAAAAAATCGAAAACACAGTTGTAGGCATTTCTCGACTTGGCCTCCATTAAGCAATACACAATTGGTATGGACTAGACAGGAAAGAAAATCATCAAAAATTAAATTGTAGTATTATTAAATAGTAATAAAACTAAACTAAAATATTTAGTCAAATTTGTAACTAGTTTTAACTTGGCAGTTAGCTAGTGTATTTTGGTTATAACTTATAAATTATTAAATTAATAATTCAGTATTAAGTTATATGATCTTAAAATAACTTACATGGTTCCCAATCATACAATGAATGCTCAGCATTTGTCTGCCCATATTTGATGGCACTATTTTGAATGTGGCGTCTATGTGCATTTCTTCCACATTATTTCTTTCTACCAACTGTATCAAGGTTGTGCACGCAAATATCATGGCTCCTCGCCCATCGATATCGCCCACATAACCCTTGAACAGTGACTCGCCACAGCAGGAATATTGGGTTAAACTTCCCAAATCAAACAAATTGGCTAAGTCGGCCAATGAAGGAGGCACTGGTGGCAGAGAATTTTTTCTGGCAAGTCTCATTACGCCTTCACCCGTAGAATAAGGATAAATCCCAGCAGCTTCAGGATTTCTATAAAAAAATTAAGTAGTAGTATAAATTAAAACAAAAAACGAAATTTTTTGTTGAAACAAGATTTCTACAGACATTTTTCTGCTGAATTCAAGTATTTTGTCAGAATCAAAATCGGACGTTAACTAACTTTGAAAAGACAATAAGTAGGTACATTTTCGTACATTTTTATCGAGTTATTGACATGACGTGCATAGGCGTACAAGAGTGAACCGCATTGAATTTCACTCACATTAATAAATAATTATCATTTATAATTAACACACAGATCCCTGGCGGCTAAGGCTTGATTATAAATTGCCTAAACTTTGCTCCTTAAATAATAGCCGTAATTAGGCCCCTTAATACTTTAATAGTGTAATTAAAAAAAGGTGGGTAAGTGGATGTCGCTCTGCTGTACAGTAGGTTACAAGTGGGTCACTGTATAATGGATGGTATTAAATTTGAATTCAATGATATAATATCATTGTATAAGAAAAACGATTCTGAGCGGAGACAGTATGTCAGTCTAGGTTTAAAACATATTATATACGAATCTATGGTATTAGAAATTGGTAAAAAAAATTGACCTATAATAGGTACCTACAATAAATTCCAAATTAACCTTATCACAATATCCATTAGGTACTTATAACGCGTTATACATCAAAAATAAACCGTGATACTGTCATAGATATATTATAATAGTACAATAAAGTGCCCACGAATAATATTATAAAATCACAACAAAATAACTAAAATAGTTATTCTAGGTTTTCGTCCAAATTTGAACTTGAAATGACCATAAAAATAAACTGTGCTTGTGTATTTTTTAGATTTTTTGGTGACAGAATTAACTACTTACATGGAATCTTGTTTTAAATTTTCAATCCTTAGCTATAAAAACTGAACATTTTATAATTTATTAATTACAATGATTGATAATTTTCGAGATTTTGAAAAATTCTGTCAAAATTTGATCTTTAAATGATTATAAAAATAAACTGTGATAAGGGATTTTTAATATTTTTCATCTGCCTTTGAAACAATATACTAGGAGCCTTCTATTAAATTTTCAAGCATTTTTAGCCAACAAATAAAATTTCATTGATATCTTTAGAAAAAAAACTAAAATAAAATGGAAAATGAAAATGTCCCTAAACAGTTCAAAATAAATCAAAATATTTTGAAAAAGTTAGTGTATAGAAAATGCAAATTTAAAGATCCAGTGAAAATTTCAAGTATCTATGGTCATTTGTTTTAAAGTTACACCTAAAAAGAAATTCAATTTTGTGAAAAATCGATTTTGCGTAAAAATTCTCGTTTTTCCTTAATTTTTTTTTTGATAATCTTGTCACTTGTGAAAACTATTGGGAAATTTTAATTTTGACCTCCCCAATGCACCAACGATATTCACTTTCAAATCGAACAATAAACTGAAGTTGAAAATCGAAGCATTATTTCGACTACTTAGAGTGTACACACACACAAAAAAATAAAATTAAAAAAAAACACACATCATTGTAAAATCAAAAGTTGAGTGTAAATCCACAAAATTTTTTGATGTCAGTCTTTTTAACGAAATTCTTCAAAATTGCTAAAATTTGCAAATTAGTTTTTAATTAGAAATTCTTAGAAATGTTTTCAGGGCCAACTTTTGTAAATTTAATAGAAAATGTATTACTATACATTTATTCAAAAAAAAAAAAAGGTTTGTCGAAAAAGTAACATCAATATTTTAGGAACGTTAGAATTTAAATAATAACCAGTAAAATAACGATTTATCATTAAGTAATTGATTTTTTTATTTTTGTTGCAATTCAAAAACGAATAACTTTCACCAACTGTTTATATCAAAATTTTACATACCTGATACAATTTATAAAAATATTTTTATTTTTTTTTATTTTTTAAATATTTATAGCCATGAGACATTATTTTCAATTATATACATTATTTCACTATTTCAGTGACCCACGACACCTAATGTATAGCAGAGCGATACCTGCTTGCACACATTTTAATATTTTATGAATTATGAGGAACAAGACATATATATTATGAGTATATTACTAATTTATTTAATCCCTATATGCATGTTTGAAAATACCTATATGAAAATTAATAATTATTTTAGATCTTTAAAATATAAATTTACCTTCTAGCTTCATCGTCGTAAATTGACTTAAATGAAGTATTTTCGGCAGTAGCTCTTCTTTTTAAAATATCCCTGAACGTTTTTACCAAAGACTCATTGGCATTCTGACATGGGTGGCCGTTGTGTGGTTGAGTTATTACATATGTTCCATTTGCCAATTTTTTTCTAGACCCCTCGCAAAAATAACCTCCTCTTTTAGCACACCTGTAGTATCTGTAATAATAATATTAGTTTAAGTTATACATTTTTGTATTTATATAATTACTAGGGTTGACATTTTTTGTAGTGCAATGTGTATTAATGAAAATGAATATATTTCAGGTCCAGATAGGTACTGTTTGATTTAATGTATACTCAATTGATACGAGTTTTTGAAGTTTTTACTACCTTTATTCATTATATTCAAAATGTTAATAGGATGCCAGCGCACCATTTGTTTTCTCTCTCTGGCCCACGCTCAACATGGACAAAACGCATTTACGCAGTATCAATTTTTTCTATGTTTTTAAGTAATCTTAAATAAAAGGTGGGTAAAATCACCCATTACAAAAAAGATAGAGAATAATATTTTCGAGGGAATGACATCGATTTGTCTAAATATTGTCTCAAAACAATTTAAACATCATTTTAATTCACTAAATTTTTTTGTTTATTTTGAAAGTCGAATACAAAGTTAAATAACAATTAATTATAGATATCGATGAAATGTAATTTCCTCAAAAATATTATTCTTTATCTTTTTTGTAATGGATGATTTTACTCTAAGATTATTTACAAACATAGAAAAAATGATTCTGCGTAAATGTTTAGCCTATGTTGCGTATGGGCCAGAGAAAACAAAGAGTGCGCAGACATTTAAAGACATTATAAACATTATTGTTTTCCTCTATATAACACTTTTTACTACATATTTTTACTTACTACTTCTGCAAAAAAAAAAACAATCAATGTTTTTCTATTTGAACAATCAAAAATATACCATTAGTAAATAGTACCTAATACAGTCCCGAGTCCAAACATTTTATAAATAAGATGTAAGAATGCACAATATTGCTTCCTTAACAGTACAACATATTTCAATTACATTTCTGTAATGTAATTTAGTAATTTAAATATATCTGATACATAAAGTTATGTATTTGAAACATGATGTGCTGTTACGGAGCTTATGGCTTATATCTAAATTAATTTTGAGCAATTAAATATAGATACTCACGTAATCCCTTTTTTAGTTCCCAAATTATCATATACGAATCCATCGTCGGCATCATCCATATCTAGTTTATTGAAAGCTATATGTAAACTAAATAAAACTGCAGTTGCATATTTAATTCGTAATTTACGAAAATTAATTACGGTATTGTACTGTTCTGTTGTAGTCACTAGTCTGCAGTAGCGCAAGTGGCAAGTGCAGTACGAGTAGTGAGTACCTACTATTATAATACTCTCGTTGACTCGTTAACTTCCATCTCAGACCGCCGCTGTTCGTTGCAGCTCGGCTTTATACCTGCATCCCTCTCAATTCACGTTTGATAGGACGTTACATTGATAGTACAATAGTTTATTGTACATGACGTCTGTGCCCTATAGGTAGGTACTAAACTAGGCAAAGAAAAAGCATGATATAATTATATAATATAAACAAACTATAATAAATATTTTTTATACCTACTAAAAAATGTAAAATCCTTTAGATAGGAATACAACAATTTAAATCCACTCGAACACTCCACATTTTAATAAAAAATATTCCTGACATTAGTTTGTACCATCCCCCCACCGGCCCACCCAAATAAAAAAAAGGTGGGCAAGTGGGTGTCGCTCTGCTGTACAGTAGGTTCCAAGTGGGTCACTGTATAATGGATGGTATTACATTTGAATTCAATGATATTATATCATTGTATAAGAAAAACGATTCTGAGCGGAGACGGTATGTCCTTCTAGGTTTAAGACATATTAAATAATTTAACACGAAAAAACCTCCTATGTGCCAAATTTTCGATTTTGAGATATTGGTATCCCTGGATTCAGAAAAAATAGGCGGTCATTTTGATAAAAACTCCTATGTGCTATCTCCATCGTAGAATTAATGAAAAATAATATACAATTCCTCCTATGTGTTACCAACCATAAATCGTTTATGAAATACCTCCTATGTGATTAAAAATTTGGTCAAAATTACATTGGAGATATTGGCATGCAGAGTAGATGTAGTGTCGTGTATGAAATATGCACATGGGAGATTTTTCCATGTTCATAAATGATAATAACAATTTAATATTAATATCAATTGATAATGATATCATTACATTAATACATTAAAAATGATGTAAAATTAGTACAGTATTTTGAAGTTGGCCTTTCAACATTTCAACCTTTCAACTAACGAAAAGGTTTGAATATTATGTAAGTAAACTTTTATAATTATATAATAGAACATTATAATTACATGAAAAAAGTCTCAAATGAGTAGGAACATTATATTTTGTCATGAATTTGTGTATTTTATTGTGGGTATTTTACTATGCTTAATATATGTTGTTGATTATTAGCTGTACTATATTATAATAAATTGTAATATGCACATTTTTAGATCACTATGAATCGTGGAAAAAAATTAGTTGGAATGGTTGAAAAAAAGTCCAATACCACAACAAAAAATTGTATACTCATCAAGCACAAAAAAAATGAAAATGTAGAAAATTGGTCAAGCACAAGAAATGGCATAGAAGTGGACCTAAACAGGTTAAATGGAGTAGATATAGATGACTTTATAATAGAATTTTCAGATAATAATAAAATAAATAACAACAAAGAAGATAGTGATAACATTCTTGAAAACAATTCGTTAAATTTAGTTTATGAACAAACTGTAGATAATATTGTTATATTAGATACTCAAAATGTTGAAGAAAGTTCTGATTTGAAAATAAATACTATCGATACTTCTGAAGTACTTGAAAACAATTTATGCGATGAAATAACTAAAGATATAGCAATATTAGACACTCAACTTTATGAAAATTAACAATTTGAAGAAAAAAATGATGATGATAACCAAGATGTATCTTCAAGCTCAGTGAATTATATAGGAATAGGTGCCAAACAAAAGATTGAATCAAAAAAAAAAAGAGTTGCAGGTTTGGCATATATGGGCTATTCACAAAATGATAAAAAAATTGTTCAAAACAAACCAAGAAATATAAGAAAAATTGGAGAAAGTTGTAGTCATACACTTGAAGTGCCAAAGAGCACTAAAAGCTTTATGTGTGGTGCATTCTCTGAAAATGATCGACAGGATGTGTTCAACAAATTTTGGAAAATGAAGACTTGGGATGAGAAACGTGGTTTTATTCAAGGTATGGTAACTAATAGACCAATAGTAAAACGAAGAAAAATAAACGAACAAAATAAATATGTTAAGTCAGATAGTCGAGATGTAAGGTTGCAGACATTGAATGGACAATGTTTAAAAGTATGTAGACTTTTTTTTTTAAATACATTAAACATTGGTGAAGATAGTTTCAAAAGATGGACAAAAAAAGTACTGAATTTACAGAACCTGGCATAGAAGCTGAACCAGCTCCTTCATCAAGAAAATTAAAAAAAAGTATTGATGTACTTCATATAAAATAATGGTTACATTTACTTCCTAAAGTACCTAGCCATTATTGTAGACAGTCTACCTCTAAGATCTATGTTGAATCTACCTTTGTATCTCTATCTAGTATGTATAAAGTGTTTCAAGAATGGTGCCAAGAAAAAAACATAACCTATGCTACCAAAACTATATTTTGCAAAACATTAAACACAGAAAATATTAAAATCCATCAGCCCCGTAAGGACCAATGTGACATATGTGTTGGGTATAAATTAGGTTCTATTTCAGAAACTGTTTATAATAGACATGTAAACAGAAAAACCATGGCTAGAGAAGAAAAAAATAAATTTAAAGCTGAGGTTTCAAGTACCAAAGTTGTAATAACTATGGATTTACAAAGTGTTTTACTTTGCCCAAAAACAGATGCATCTGCTATGTATTATAAACAAAAACTACAACTGCATAACTTTACAATCTACAGACTCAATGACAAAGATTTTACTCTATATGTCTGGCATGAGGGAAATGGTAGTGTAAGTGCCAATGAGTTTACTAGTTGCATCATTCAATATATTGACACACTTCCAAATGAAGTGACTGAAGTTATCTTGATCTCAGATGGTTGTAATTACCAAAATCGTAACAAGACACTAGCATGTGCTTTAAGTACCTTGGCTAAAACTAAAAGTATAACTATTGAACAGTTATTTCTGACAAAGGGTCATACTATGATGGAAGCTGACAATGTCCATTCTACTCTGGAGCACTACTTTAAATCACCAATATATTCTCCTGGTGATTATATTAGTAGAATGAGATTGGCAAGGTGTAATCAACCATATAAAATCAACGTTTTAGACTACTCATTTTTTAAAAATTATGATGATGTTTGCTCTTTAAATTCATTGCGTCCAGGAAAAAAAAACAGGGGATAAAGTTGTGACTGATATTTGTAAAATTCAGTACACTCATGAAGGAGAAATACTATACAAAACTGAGTTTGAAGATGGTTGGACAAAATTACCAGAACAAAAAAAAGTTAAAATAACTAGAAGAACAGTAATTGAATCTCAAACACTAACAAATTTGTACAATGCACCATTGCCCATCTCTGATACAAAATTACAAAATTTAAGGATTTGCAATCATTAAAGCCAGTCATAGATAAAGAGTATCACCCTTTCTATGACAATTTGCCACATTCTAAAGATCCAAAAAATAATAAAATATAAGACTTCAATAAATATACTTAAATATAAAGTTAATATGACAATAATAAATTTTATTTTATTATGATGACTGAAAAAGTGATAACTATTTTTTATTTTGTATTATAATTTTCTATAATTAGTTACCTATAAAACAGAAAAGTGAGAAACTATGTTTTTTTTTTCAACTATGATAAGAAAATAAGAAATCCAAAGACTGGTTACTATTACATTATTATTTTTAACTTTTACCTTATTTGTTATAATTCTAAAAAGTATATTTTAAGTATTTTGAGTAACTATAATTTGTTATTTATTTTATTACCAGGACTGAAAAAGTGGTTAACTATTTTTTATTGTTTTTTTGTTGTAATGTTTTATATTTTATAATTAGTTATATCTTATAAAAGTTAACAATTATGTTTTGTTAGTACATTGATAATATTATAAATATGAATTTTAAAGTTATTTTGTTTTATTATGTTAAGTATTTTATACAAGTTTATTATAATTTGTTAATAAATATTTATTTCTTAGATAACACAACTTAGTTTTTTTAATAAAATCGTTCAAAATAAGTCTTATTAGTATTTCTCTGGCACCAACTATTATTCAAATAACCTCCTATTTACTGTTTGGCAAAAAAAGATTGATTAACATAACCGCCTATGTACTGTTTGGCAAAAAAGATTAATTAACATAACCTCCTATGTGATGAAATATTGACAATTTGTTAAATAAATACATATATATTAAGTTTTTTACTTCAATTTTTTGCAGAATAAAAATGTATATTTTATTACGTTTTTTAAATGTATTTTCATTAATCATTGATGATTCGTGATTTTTTAAAACGTTTTTCGTCTCTCCTGAAAAATTAGTTTTAAGCACATGGGAGATTTTTTCGTGTCAACGACATTATATACTTATCTTGAGTATTAAAAAAATTGACCTATAATGAATTCCAAATTAATCATATCACAATATCCATTAGGTACTTATAACACGTTACCTATACACCAACAACAAACCCTGGTGCTATCATAGATATATAGTAATATACTTTAGAAGTTTCAAGTACCCACGAATAATATTATACAATCACAACTAAAATAGTATTTTTTATTATGTAATTTCGTCCAAATTTGAATTTTAAATGTCTGTAAAAAATAACTGTGTTCATATATTTTTTAGATTTTTTGGTTACAGTATGAACTATTTATGAGAACCTTTGTTTTAAATTTGCAATCCTTAGCTATAAAATCTGAACATTTTATAATTTATTAATTACAATGATTGATAATTTTCGAGATTTTGATAAATTTTGTCAAAATTTGATCTTCAAATGCTTATAAAAAAAAAAAAACTGTGCCTATGTATTCTTAATGTTTTTCAACTGGTATTGTAACAATATATCAGGAGCCTTGTATTAAATTTTTACACTTTTTGGCCCAACAGATAAAAATGTATTAATATTTATAGAAAAAAAACTAAAAAAAATTGAAAGAGGTAAATGTCCGTAAATAGCTCAAAAAGAGTCAAAATATTTTCAAAATTGTATGGTGTATAGGAAATGCTAATATAAACATTCAGTGAAATTTTCATGCATCTACAGTAATTCGTTTTTGAATTACAACAAAATAAGGAAATCGCCACATGAGAAATCGAGTGAATATCCAATGTTGTAAAAATTTGAATTTCAAACGCTCATAAAAATTTAATTTGACTTTCTTATAGAATTTTTTTTTTTTTTGATAAATGTAGGAAATCTTATAAGGAATATTGTATTATATTTTCATATCTTAGATTTAAAAAGAAAAATTTTTATGAATTTCTAACTCGAAATAATTTGCTGCAAATTTTCGTGATTTTTCCATATTTTGTCATTTTTTGAACTTTAAATGCTTAAAAAAAAAAACTGTGACTAACGATTTTTAATATTTTTCATCTGTCTTTGAAACAATATAGTAGGAGCCTTGTATTAAATTTTCAAGTATTTTTATTCGACAAATAAATTTTTATTGATATTCATAAAAAAAAAAAACTAATAAAATTGGAAATTGAAAATGTCCCTAAACAGTTCAAAATAAATCAAAATATTTTAAAAATGTTATCGTGTATAGAAAATGCAAATATAAACAACCACTGAAAATTTCATGTATCTACGGTCATTTGTTTTAAAGTTACACCAAAAACCAAAATCGATTTTCTTGAAAACGGATTTTGCGAAAAAATTCCCGTTTTCCCTTAATTTTTCTTTTGTTTTTCCCGGCGCTTTTGAAAACGACTGGGAAATTTAAATTTTGACCTCCCCAATGCACCAACGATATTCACTTTCCAATCGAACTGAAAAAGATACTGAAGTTGAAAATCGAAGCATTATTTCGACTACTTATCGTGTACACAGACACAAAAAAAATAAAAAAAAAAAAACACACATCATTGTAAAATCAATACATTCATCGTTCCACTCAGAAACTAAAAAATAATAGGAGTATGCAAAAAAAGTATAAAACTAGTAAGGGAGCTCCCCTGTGCACCCTCCCAATTCGAACACTGGGTACAATATTTTGCCTTGAAGTAATTTCGAATTTAGGCGTTTTATGCCTAACCCCGTTTGCAAATGTACGCTCGCGCCTCGCAGCAGATCACGTTTAGCTCCGTTAGTTTAAAAAATTAGAGTTAATCGACCTATTATTAAACTTAATGTTAAGAACATTATCTGTGTTTGTATGTGGGTTTTTTACGATAATTCAATTTTTTAGCAAGTTATGCGTATATTATATAGCGTAACGCAAAAATGCTCATAACTCACTTAGAAATTGAGTTATCGTAAAAACCCTCATACAAGCACAGATAATGTTCTTAACATCAAGTTTCATAATAGGTCGATTCACTCTAATTTTTAAACTAACGGAGTTAATCGTGAGCTGCTGATCATAAATTCGCCATGTATTATTCGCGCTTGTAAGACGAAAACAACAATTAATATCTGTGTAGCGTCCTCTTAATATCAAATTTAATAATCTGATTCTGATAGGTAGGAAGTTATGATTTTGATAGTGATACACCACTATGCATATTGATGGGAATGAAACAAAATATACCATTAGTCATTACCATTGATTAAATATTTAATCAATGCCATTACGTATCAGTGTGTGTAAACTTTATGTATAATACGCGAAAATATAAATGCGTTTGTCGCGGAACGGCATAATAGTCTAATACCTAGTATGGCCTAGTAAGATCTTTACGAGAATATATACTCTCAAATCTCAATAACGAGAATACGAGATACCTAACTCTTCGATTTAATAATGATATAATCCCTCTCTCTCTCTGTATAGTAAATAGTTTCAATCCGTGGATTGGATTTCAACCGTCTTCCATTATTTTCTATTATACATATAATAATATAATATTATATAATTTATTATATATTATGCACATACAAAAATTATAATACATTAAAAGCTCCAAAACTTTTATTTTTGATTTCAATGTTTGTCACCCCTAAAAATTAGTAACGCGGTGCAGCTTCCATCTTTGCACATCCACTTAACCCGGCACTGTAAAACGGGTGTGCCTATCAAGTAACACTTGTATACCAATTATCAAATGGGCAAGTAATTTCAAATTCGTGTAAAAGCTAAACAGTGCTCCGACCACTGGTATATGTGTCAAGTATATTTGAGTAGATATACTTATATGTTAGCCGTTCTTTTGACTAGTGTCATATATAATGACACTCATCGGGAAGGACGCACCAGTTACCCGCAATAATTTTGCAAGTATTGAATTATATATTGTTCCGGTGGTATGGAAAGTACCTAACCACCAGACACCAGTACCAACTACCAAAATATTGGTCAAGTACACTAATCGTGAGAATGTGGCTTTAGAATCTTCAATCTTTGATTCAAATTATTTGAACCAACATTATTCGGAAACGATTAGCCTGAGGTAAAGATTGATAATAACTTTGAAACGAAACATTAGGAATTGATAGTCTGGAGCTGATATAATTTGAAATATATACTTTGATTTTCTCTTTAAGTTGGAAACCATAATTTTGGACTGATTATTATTTGAAAACAATAAACCATGAAACTACATTATTTTTAAATGATAATACTAACAAGGTATTAAGATTTCAAAAATATAGAACCAAACTAATTACTACTCATAATATGACGTATTAAATGTTTACTATTGAAATTCTTATGGCAAAAACTAAAAAGGCGTTAAATTTATTTTGTCCCGGTTTTACCCCCGGTAAAAATATACTAGGTTATTTTTACCCCCGGTAAAAATATACTAGGATATTATTACCCCCCCGGTAAAATTAATTGACAGGGGGGTAAAATTAATCGACAGGGGGGTAAAAATATCCTAGGATATAATTACCCCCCGGTAAAAATATCATAGTATATAATTAAATATCTGTTTAAAATATACTAGAATATATTTACCTCCCATTGAATTATTATAGTAGAATATTTTTACCCCCTCGGTATAAATGTGTTTTTAAGGGGGGTAAAAATATCCTAGCATATAACTAACGATCTGTTTAAAATATACTAGAATACATTTACCTCCCATTGAATTTTTATAGTAGAATATTTTTACCCCCTCGGTATAAATGTGTTTTTAAGGGGTAATAATATCCTAGTATATTTTTACCCCCCTGTCGATTAATTTTACCGGGGGGGTAATAATATCCT